ACAATGGGATTGATCATCGCTTGACCTTGGTATCACACCCACAAAGTAATGGGCTCGTCGAAGTAACTAATAGGATCATATTGTAGTACCTTCGAACAAGGATAGGGGATGCCAAAGGTGACTGGCCTGATGAACTGTCTTCTATACTATGGACATACAGGACTTCACACGAAACAGCAACTGGTGAAACGCCCTTCATACTTGCTTTTGGACTTGAGGCTACCATCCGAATCGAGGTTAGCTTCCCCACAATAAGAAAGCTCGAGATGAATAGGGAGAGACAAACTACTGAGCACCTTGACTTGCTTGAAGAGGTAAGAGAGCAAGCCTCACTTAGAGTTGCAAGTTATCAAAACAGAACCGTGAAACACTTCAACAGCAAGGTCTAGACGAGAAGGTTTAGAACTAGCGATTTTGTCCTTAGAAAAGCAGAAGCCGCTGGACACCAACCAGGAAAGCTCGGACCGACATGGGAAGGACCCTTCGAGGTCATAAGAAAACTTAAAGGTGGAGCCTATAGCCTCAGAGACACATTGGGGAAGCTGCTCCCAAGGCCATGGAACGCCGAAAATCTGAAAATTTATTACAAGTAACTAACTGTAGCTATAATTCTTCCCTTTTAAGGTTTGCATGCCCACTTTATGTTTGCTTAATTTCATTTTTACTTTTCGATCTCTAATGCCCTGACAGCTCATGTTCGAATAAGCTCAGGTATCAACACCTTTGAGCCCTTCTAATAATACACGGAATTTTTTTTTATGATATTGCTTTCCTATTAACCAATTAGCGTAAGGTCGTGCTCTATACATGCAGCTAATATCTTTACAAAATTGGCGTAAGGTCATGCTCCGCGCATACAGCTAATACCTTTACAAAATTAGCGTAAGGTCGTGCTCCGCGCATGCGGCTAATATCTTTACAAAATTAGCATAAGGTCGTACTCTGCGCATGCAGCTAATACCTTTACCAAATTAGCGTAAGGTCATGCCCCGCGCATGCAGTTAACACCTTTACAAAATTAGGGTAAGGTCGTGCTCCACGTATGCAGCTAACACTCGACCAATAGAACCTAACTTATGACCTCAAGTGGCAACAGGTCGGGCATAAAGGCCCCAACCTTATCAATCCCAAAATGCTCACCTAAGAAAGAATTCTGAGATCAAGATCGAGGCATGATATAACTGCCCATCATATAACCACGTCCGACCTTTTCCTCAAAGGACAATGCTTAAATTACAAGGGACAAGCCCGACCTTTCTTTTAATTCATCAGTGACCCATTGGTCACCGCTTGATATAAACAAATTAAAAAATCAGTACCCAACACTAGTACACGAACTAGTTGACCCCAAACATAACAAAACACCCTCGAACTTAGAAGTTGACACCCAATTTTTAAAGTAAAATGATCGATCTATCCATAGTGTCAATGATCAGTATTGTTAAGACATGCAAACTCTTACATACACTCGGGCTATGGAAGTCAACTTTCGAGCTAATTGGTTGCAACACGCGATATTAACGATCAAACTCTTAACAATTGTAACAGCTCGAATTCAAAATCATGGTGTTTACACACGAACACAAAATCCGCGCACGATCTCACAGAAAAAAATAAAATTCTTGAACTGATAACAAAAAGCCTAGTTCGGGCACTATACATTGTAAAAAATCAAATTCATCAGCCCAGGACGGGCAAAGTACATCAGCAAAAAGAAAAAAGTTACAAAAATGTCTATCTCGGGGTCGGGGGAAAGCCTAATCTAGATCGATGGGATCACTCTCGCCTCCATGGTCAGGGGTCCCAGCGTCGTCATCATCATAATCCCCATCGGCCTCTGAGGAAGATAGCTCGAGATCCTTGGCGAGCTCGTTCACAATCTTCAGCTCCTCGACCACGGGCTTCAAGTTCTCAGGGAGCTTGGTCCGGAGGAATGAACGAGCTAGTCGAAGCCCGTAGTAATATGGGCCAGACCCGTACTGGCCCAGAAGAGTCCTGAACTCATCAGACTACTTGAACTCCTCGATGGCCTGAGTTCTAGCCTCTGCTCGAGCTTTCACCAGCTTCTCCTCAAAAGCTCTCTAGGATTGGAGGAGCTCAAGCTTAGCCTCCTCGACCTCTTCTCTTGCCACCCCGACCTCGTCCTTGGCCTACTTCAGGTCCACGTTGGCCATTTCGAGCTCGTGGGCCCTATTGTAAGCCATCTCGCTCTTGGCCTCAAGCTCGGCTATCTGTGCCGAGGAATTCAAGCTCCTAAGCCCCAAACCTCGAGCTATACTTAGTATCTGTAAAAACGAGTGTTATAACCGAAGTCAGGTCAAGGACAAAAACTTATCAACAACTATAGAAGCAACCATATTAAAAGAAAACCTTCAGGGTTAAGAGCTCGAGGGTTTGAACTCCCTCATTAAAGTCGACCTCCTTCTCATACTTGTCGACAATGCCCTGGATGAGAGCACACTCAGCATACTCCTCGAGCAACTTAGTGGGCATCGGGTCGTCGTCATTGGCAAGGAGGTCCGACCCATAACAGGGAGTACAAGCTCGAGCTGGCTACTGAGACACGGGCTTGCTTGGAGGGGTCGGGCTTTTTGAGCTCTACCCCATGTTGGTCGAGGTTGGTCGGGCAGTCTCCCGTGCCCATTTTTTCCCTTTAGACGGGACATTTGTTGGGGTTTTTGACTTCGAGCCCCTTGCCCTCTAAAGTTCTGTAAACAACAATAACAAATACATTAGCTCGATCTATAGATCGATGCTTAGGCAAGAAATCGCAGCATTACACAAAAAAAAAGTGAAGAGAAAAATCATACCCTCGAGGCCTTTCACGTTGGCAAGGTCGAGGGTATCATCCTCGAGTAGATAGTCGATCTTTTCTTCCAAAGAATCGTGATTCACTAACCTCAGCCTATCTCTCTCTAAAACCTCGAAAGAGGCCTGACTTTCGTTAAACATATCCTTATCAGGAATTTTCCACTTCGGGCTAAAATGATGGTCGGGGTCCTGAGGCCTCACAAAAAAGAATCTTTCCTTCCAACCCTAAAGAGAGCTTGGTGTTTCAGGTGTTCTAAACCCCCCATTGGTTGATAAGCAAACGAAACAATTATACCCCGAGGAGAATTTCATATCATAGACCATTCGTAAGAGATCGAGTCTAGGCTTGATCTCGAGACACCTACATAATATAAAGAAGTATACCAGCAACCTCTAACCGTTCGGGGCTAGTTGACCAGGGCATAAATAGTATGAGGTCAGGAAATGGATGAAGAATGGGTGAAAGGGCCACCTAAGCCCGGCCTTAAGAATGTCTCTAAAAAAGGTCATCTCTCCCTCTCGAGCTCCTAACACGGTCTCAGTAGACCTTGGGGCTCTCACATCACAAATGAGCATAACCCCGAACTCTCTCGCTATCGTAATAATCACATGTTCCTTATACTTGGTCGGTTCTTTAGGGTAGACCAAGTCGTCGTATGAGAACTAACAGGAATGGCCCCGGGGATCAGGGATGTACTTACGTCCTCAAGTTTATCACTACGGTTCGAGGCTCTGGATGGACAGCTACTATCACTCTTACTCGACGCTGTACTACTGCTGCTACTACTCAACATAATACTAAATCAAATAATTAAAACTTAAAGGCCCGAACTCTTACCTTTTTTGGATGATCGCTTACCAACCCACTATCCCCGAGCTCGAGCTTTCTTTTACTGGAGAGTGAAAAGTGAAAAGTGAAAGTGAAATGTGGTAACTATTTATAGGGGTCTTTGGAAGGTCAACGGTCTATTAATCCTGGCCTTTGAACGAAGACACGTGGCGGCCATCCAAGATCGTGACCTGACATTGCACGTGGCAGCCATTTGAGGTCGTTCTCTAGCATCTAATTGAACGCCTTACACGTGGAAAGATGTTTGGACATCTATGCCTTTACATTTTTACTCGTAGATCATGCTTGGACGAAAATCTACAATCTTGATGCACGGGGGTCTGTGATGACCCCAGATCTTGTAATCCCGAACTCGATCCCTTAACTCCGACCTTAACATCACCCAAAACTACCAAATCAAGGTCGGGGTTTGTATATCAACACGCCACGCACTTCTTAACGACCTATGAGTGCATTAATTCTACTTAAGCCACAATCTTTACCCTATTTGACTCCTTTTTCGACTCAAACAATGTTTGAACACTTGGAATGAAACACTAACTCCTTATCCTATGAGGATAAGGACCACAAAAGGATAAGTCCTTCTAAAACTCTATCATTAACACCTATAAATACACAACCCGGGCTCATTCTTGAGGTACGTTTTTCATTATTTTCAGTTTATAGCTTTATGCACTAAATTCCCTATCTGACTTAAGTATCGGAGGGGCGACGAGCACACACCTCGTTGTCTTTGTTGCAGGTATTCAAAGGCCGTTCGTGTTCATCAAAGTTCGGAGTTTAATCACCGAGTTCGAGATCCTTCAGGTACTATTTTTTGGTAACATCAGGTCCAATTTTAGAAACATTGCTCACATGGTTAGGTAACTATGAGTCTGTTTGGGAGTGATTTTGAGAATTGATTTTTTGACCGTTAAGAGAAAAGTGGCGTCCACCTATGAGAGAAGAAGTCAAATATAACAATTGAATTAGTGAAATAACGATCAAAAAATCAATTTTTTTGGACAAAAAATCACTCCCAAACAAGCTATATATATTTTCTAAGTACACTGTCAACAATCCCAACTGGTCCCCAGATAGAAAAAGTCAAAACTCCAGGCACCATATACGCATGTATCATACAGATTTTCTGATAATCAAATCCTGTCTTGGACGGGATTTAAAAATTGGCAATAATGATGCTTGTCTTGACTCAAAAATAGAAAATAAAAAATACAGACTGATTTGGCAACTGTTGATTGGAGTTTCATATTTTATTTTTTAAACTGTCCAATTATATTTCGATACGTGTCCCTCTATTTTCGTATGTATTTTTACGTCTATTTGTCTAGTATAAAATTTGAACCCTGTCCAGGCAGCGTAACTCCTCCTTAAATTATAATCTACTCCGTTAGGACATGGCCTTTTTCGCCGCCGCACCCTGCAGAGCCCGAACCCACCTCGCTTCCTCCGCCGATTGTTATTCCCTTTTGCCCTTGAAATTCGACAGAATTACTCCCCCTTGCCATTTGAATCCAAAACGTCATTCTGTTTTCTGTACCCTGTCCAAACAGACAATGGCGGAGCATCATCTCGAACCGGTGGTTCTGCAGCGGCCAGACTCGTTCGGGCGATTCGGTAAGTTTGGTGGGAAATATGTACCTGAAACCTTAATGTACGCCCTCACGGAGCTCGAGACTGCATTCAATTCCCTCGCTTCTGACCAGAAATTTCAGGTCTTGCTTAAAGATCCTTTTTTTTCTTTTTTCTTTTTGCGAAATATATATTTAATTCACATTTTGTTTTTCTGTGAATCATTTTGTGATTCTCGATTTTTTTTAACTTCTTATGAATTTTAATTCTAAAATATATTTTGTAATGAAAACACGCTGTGTCAAGCGCCTTGTATGGTAATGTGATTAAATTATTGGCTGGTTTAGTAATCGTTCTGCTTTTTCTTCACTCTACGGTTCTACGTTTATTTTTATTTTTATTTTTTTTGGGGGGGGGGGGGGGGGGAGGGGGCAAAGTTTAGCTATGTTGTGAATTGTATTTTGAAAAATAGATTTTACTGAATTTAATTTTTTTGTCTAGAGAAATGTTGTTACTAGAAAATTTAAAACTTGGGCATTTTCAGCATGATCAAGCTATAAATTTTATACAAATTGTTAAAATATAATTATGCATTTTAAGACATTGTAAAGATAATGATTTAAGTAATAGAACACTGAATATAATCAAAATGTATGATTGATTGTACTACATGTAGAATGAGCTAGATGGGATATTGAGAGACTATGTCGGGAGAGAGAGTCCTCTTTACTTTGCGGAACGACTTACAGAGCACTATAAACGTCCTGATGGAAGAGGGCCACAAATTTACCTCAAAAGAGAAGATCTTAACCACACTGGGGCCCACAAAATCAACAATGCTGTTGCCCAAGCATTGCTAGCCAAGCGCCTGGGCAAGAAACGTATCATTGCTGAAACAGGGGCTGGTCAGCATGGTGTTGCTACAGCTACCGTTTGTGCTCGTTTTGGGTTAGAGTGTATTATCTATATGGGTGCTCAGGACATGGAGAGGCAAGCACTCAATGTCTTCAGAATGCGACTTCTTGGAGCTGAGGTTTGTTTATCAATACTAGCTTTTTACTAGTTCTTTTGATAATCTGATGTACTCGGAATTGCAATCCCCAGTTATCCACGCATCAATCTTCTCTTAGCATACACAAGAATGCTGGTAAATCCTGTCTACCCCGTTGTCATGCCTGGACAACTATGTGCAGAACAGTGATTGCAAAACAAAATTATCATTGTGGATTTGGGGTACTTTCCAGCATTCAGCTCATTAGGATGCTGTATGCAGCAATATACGTGCATTCTTTTTTCGAATTGTTTATGTTTCTTGCATCAAGTAGTCACTCTGGTTTTTGGGTTCCCTTCAAATTCACAGACTAGCAGCATCTCCAACAGCATTACCAGGTGCCTCTTGCTTAAGGTGTTCTGTCAAGGCTTACACCTTGGCTTACTGAGTCAAACTCAAGCATAAGCCTCGTGACGGCAGGGAGTTGCCACATTTGGGCTTTGTTCTTAGCACCCTCAAACCCTCGGTTGCTTGGGTTTTCCAGAATGTGTTTTAAGGATTTTTGGGATGTTCCTAACACAAACCTTCTTAAAAACTAATAAAATCAAAAGAAAAGAAAAAGATTGGAGATTAGAGGAGAAAAAATGAACACCCTGTGTGCCCTGGCCCTCTACTTGCACCCCTGAACAGAAACAGAGAAGAAAAAACCAGCAATGTTGCTCCTTTCTAGCTAGCATTTAACAAGTTTTTCTTCTTTTCTTTCTTTTACTGTCTTGGATTTTGTCTCCACTTGTCAGTTTTCTACCTTTGTACTGGAATCTGGATCATCTGACCCAGCAATGGCCTGAAGAAAAAAATGTTTACTGACGGGATGAGACGAAATAAATTTCTCTTTGGCTTTCCAGCATTCACCTCCTTCCCTTGTCAGGCCTTTTCATTGAGTTTACTCTGGGTTTTGCTTTTTCTATTAAAACCAAGCTAACGAAATTTTTGAAGCTTGATACTTCCAATTTTGGATTAGCGACCTTGTCATATAATTACTACTTTCATTACTGCTTTATTGATTTATTGTTTGCTACCGTATTGATGTCTTTTATGTTTCGAACTGCAAATTTGACTTTGATTTTGTTATAAGCATTATTTATTTATTTATTATTATTTTTTTTTTTACTAACTCTTCAATTTTTTTATTGGTGCCTTGAGGCTTATGTCTTGCCTCACAGATGGAAAATGCTTAGATTCCTCTATCTATCGTTTTTGAATACTCAGAGATTATGAAACTACTTTTTATCAGTTTATTTCACAATTACAAGAACAAACTTTCCTTTACTATTCTGATATCAGTACCATCTTTTGCAGCTTCCAAATCTATGAGCCTCATTGTTATTCATGAAGAATCTTTTTCTAATAAAATCATCAATTCCTTAATTAAGAGTGCTTGTGCAAGTTAATTTATCATGCCTGCATGACATCAAAAAATGACTCGTGCTTTTCAATTGAATTTTGGCGACTTTGCATAAATGGCTCGGGGATACAATTTATAATGCTGCTTTTGGCTTTCCCAACTCACATGCAGGTGAGACCATGCTTGTGCAAGTTAATTTATCGTGTCTGCATGACATAAAAAATGACTCGTGCTTTTCAATTGAATTTTGGCGACTTTCTTAAATGGCTCGGGGATACAATTTATAATGCTGCTTTTGGCTTTCCCAACTCACATGCAGGTGAGACCATGCTTGTGCAAGTTAATTTATCGTGTCTGCATGACATAAAAAATGACTCGTGCTTTTCAATTGAATTTTGGCGACTTTCTTAAATGGCTCGGGGATACAATTTATAATGCTGCTTTTAGCTTAAAATTTCCGAACTCACGTGCAGGTAAGACCAGTTCATTCGGGGACTGCAACGCTGAAGGATGCTACATCTGAAGCTATACGAGACTGGGTAACCAATGTGGAATCAACTCATTACATCCTGGGATCTGTTGCCGGGCCCCATCCATATCCTATGATGGTAAGAGAGTTTCATGCAGTGATTGGTAAAGAAACAAGGAAACAAGCATTGGAAAAATGGGGTGGCAAACCCAATGTGCTTGTTGCATGTGTTGGTGGAGGTTCAAATGCGATGGGGATCTTTCATGAATTTGTCGATGACAAAGATGTTAGGCTGATTGGTGTGGAGGCTGCTGGTTTCGGTTTGGACAGCGGTAAGCATGCTGCCACATTGACTAAAGGAGAAGTTGGAGTCTTGCACGGAGCTATGAGCTACTTGTTGCAGGATGATGATGGGCAAATTATCGAGCCACATTCTATTAGTGCTGGGTAAACCGTGTTCATATTTACCAATAATTTAAGATGCCATTTGTTTCGATATATTTTCCCTGACTAAAAAGCGCTTCTTTATGACCTCCATAGCCTGGATTATCCTGGAGTTGGACCAGAGCACAGTTTTCTTAAAGATATTGGACGTGCTGAGTATTATAGCATCACCGATGAAGAGGCTATAGAAGGTAAGGAGAGAAATCTAATGTTCCATTTGTTCCGTGCTTTTATCTTCGTATATGCAGCTGCCCAGTCCTCTGGAATTCCTTGTTCAACATAGTCAAAGTAGATTATAAAAAAACCTAAGGTCCTTTTATTGCTTTCCCTCCCACAATATCCAATTGCTTTATGTTGTTCTTGATAGAGTAATTGTAAGTGTATATGAATTGTTAGGTCATCCACTGATGTATTTAGTTGGATAAATTGATACGGGATAGGACCAGTATTAAGGGGAAAAGAATCTTCATTTGTTGGGAATAATATCCAGCCTCGTCTAAGAACATTACACTAAATGTGTCTCTCTGCCTGTGTCATGCCAGCTTTTAAGAGATTATCTAGGCTCGAGGGCATCATCCCTGCACTCGAGACATCTCATGCACTGGCATATCTAGAGAAGTTGTGCCCGACGCTTCCAGATGGAACTAAAGTTGTGCTCAACTGCAGTGGAAGGGGAGATAAGGATGTTCAGACAGCCATTAAATTGTTAAAGCTTTGATTGTATTAACTTGAAAATGTGCATGTGAACCTTCTAGGAATTTCGGGGAATCATTTCTTGAGATCCTTTTGAAGGGCAATTTAGTTTGTGTCATGGTCTGCCACCATGGTTATATGATGAAATTTTTCATATGAAAGCAATGATAAACCAGTCAGGTTGCCATTATTTATTGGTACAATTTCTCAGTTCTTCCCTCAACTTTGGGGTACAACATAAAACACTAAAATCCACCAAAACTTAATCTGTATAAGATCCAAGTTTTTTAACTCATTATTGGTATCTACAAGTAAAGCCGATGCTCCACTCAGTACAAACTTTTATCGATCTTCAAGCAGCACGAATCTTGACACCTACTTCTGTCCAGTTCATGCAACTCAACCAAGCTGAATTCCGAGTTCCAGTTCTTACTGCTTTGCCTGTCAAATACGAAAAAAATAAGAGAATAAACGCATTGATGTGCACTTGGCTATATTATCAAAACTCCAGAGAAGCATGCAATGAACGACAAATATGAGAACCTCGTTGTCTGTTTAACATGCATATGGAAACATTGCTTTTTAAAGGTACGAAATCAAGCAATGTCGACAATATGGAAGTAATGTGTCAAAATTTAGAGCCTGTTTGGGCGTTCAAAAAATCAAAAACTGCGTCTAAGGTTAAGAAGCTATTTTTGGACACGTTTGAATAATTTTCTAGATGCATTTGTCAGACTAGAAAAGCTTTTAGAGAACTATCCAAAGTTAGCTTCCTCACAAAGCTCTTTATAAAAGTATAGCCCTGCCAAACAAAGCCCCAAATAACTTCCTAAGCACAGAAATAAGCAGTATCCAGCCAATGCGTGGAGAAAAAGTCAAATGAGGATAAGTTAGCAAATTACCTGAGAATACAAGAAAGTTCCTAGAATTGCAATGGCAGCTCCAAGAGCGTTGATGGGTCGTACGGGTGTATGGAAAATGATGATAGATGAGACAATGACAGAAATGCGTTTCATTGTGTTTCCAATGCTAAATGTCAAGGGAGAAATCTCATCAAGTGACATGTATGACACCTGATTGTATAGGTGGTAGAACACACTCTGGGCTGCCATCCACCTGTTATTTACAAAATTCAACAACATAAACATCAATAGAAACAAACCTCCGAATCTTGACAAAAAGGCGAAAGAAACAAAATTTAGTACTCTGTTACCCAATATTCTACATGAAGAATAAAACTCAATAACATCAAAAACTACTCAAATGAGTCGTATCCGCATTATTAAATAATCAATTTGGATCAACTAATCATATAACAAAGGATTCTATTCAAGGAGGACTAAGCTCTTGTTTGCCCTCCATTTTCTAAAACTCATTTTTAACCACGGGCCCACAACTTTTATAACTTTCCAACCACACAAACTATTTTTATCAAAATCAACTAAAAACTTGATTTTTAGTTAAACCAAACGGGGCTAAGTTGGTTTTCTAGAATTTATATACTTACATGGCTAGATTAATCATCCACAAAATTTACAAATAAATACAAAATTATTCACCTCTTAGAAAACCTAGTTTTGTGATACAACAATGGATTCTAGAGAATTAGTGATACATGGATTTTGTATTTACACCCATCAAATATCTTCACGACATCATACGTGCAATATTAGACAAAATAAAACAAAACAAAAGTAGGTAGGTCTTGTCATGTAATTACCAAATAATCTGGGGTCCAATTTGAGATAGTGATTCTTTAAATCCAAGAGCCCACATTTGTGGTCCTTCGACAGCAATTGCAAATGGAGTGAGAATCAAGAGAGAGAGCATAGATAAGCAGGCATAGTAGTTCATTCCACTAACAGACTTGCCCTTCATGCCCTTCTTGGAAAATATGTTCCGAAAAACAAATGCCAAATTCGATATCATGGCCCCCATAAAACCTGATGTGAACAGCCAACAACCATATACGTATGCATCAGACAAGAACATGAATACTGGTAATTTCTGTTTAACACCTCCTACAACTTTATTCAATTTTCAAAAATACCAGAAACGGCCAACCAAAATCACTTATATAAACAAATTCATGAGACTCCATGAAGAATTCATGATGAAGAAATAAAAAAGACAAGTTTCATGGTCGCACTGAGGTCTCACCAGTATATAACAATGAAAACTTAGAAAGTTGGGTTGCTAATGTTAAAGTAAGTTCAAAGTTACTTTTTTTACTAGCAAAACTTACTTTCCACATAAACTTTAACTTATACTATAGAAGATTACATTTTAAGAGTTTATCCGAGAATGTTCTAATCAAATTTATTTCTATTTCTGAATGACAATATGTCAATACCCCCTCCTACTATAGCAAATCAAGTAAAAGAGGACAATATTAATCAAACAAGGTTCAATCAAATCACAAAAGTGAATCAACGAATTACCAGTCATGTTGAAGTTGAGCTCGGTGAGGGCTGCGAGACCACAACCACCGATGATCGGAACGAGCGACAAGTAAACAGACGGTGAAAATGTCTCTCCCAAGAGAAATCTCGACACCAAAACACTGAAAGCAGGCTCACCGCTCTTGATTATGTGAGTAAATGATACAGCCACCTTTGACATACTCACAGTAGCTGCAACATGACCAATAGTATGTGCAACAGCAACCTAAAAACGTCAACCCAACATCAACATTAATCAATTCTTCAATTATTTTAGAGAAAATACATACAAGAAAAACATGTTTCCGTGGATCCAAATCACAGAAACACAGATGGCATGTTCTGTGCCGTGGACTGAACGGTGTTAACGAAGAAAAGGAAACTAAGCATTTCGTCCATTTTCGGTCTCAAGTCTCTGTCCAGAAGTTCAAAAACCCTGAAAAATAATTGGTAAGGGAGACTCGACAATATAAACCAAGAATTTGTCAGTTGCAAGAAAAGGACCTAAAGTTCAAAAAGCATGAGAAATAATAAGTGATGATTTAAACATTGTCATCTAAGGGGGGAAAAATAAAATAAATTTTTTTCCATTGTACTGCCAAATTCCCATCCAGAAGTTCAAAAATCCTAAAAACAATTGGTATTGTGGTCTTGACAATATAATATTAACACAAAAAGAAAACTAATTTTTTTGAGCACTGCACACTATAGAAGTTCAAACTCCAGAAAATAATTGGTAAAGTGGACTCCACACTATTAACCTACAAACAAATACTAAAATTTAGTCCATTATGCTGTCAATTCATGTCCAAAAGTTCACCAAAAAAAAAAAAGAAAAAAAGAAAAAAAAAAAAGGGTATTTGGACTCCATATTAGCTGAGAAAAAGGTGCTAAAATTTTGTCAATTATACTATGAAGCCTGTGTCTAGAAGATCAAAAACACAGAAAAATAATCATACAAACACGAATTACCAATGTCCAAAAACCCATAACAGAAACACATATATCAGAGAATTCACTAAAAGAAAATAAATAACAGATCGTAGAACTGCGCAAGAAGCAAAACCCAGATCTTGTAAAACCCTAAATATGCTTACAGGAAAAAGGGTCTTCCAAAAATCAAGATCAGTTTTTGGGGCTTCAGCGATCCTCAGAGCCCAAGAAATAAACATGATCAATGATCCAGCAGCCAGTGAAAGCGTTGAAGTTAACCATGGAAATGGAAAAGCATTCAACACTTTTTTGTTATATATATTAAAGATCACATTCAAAGCCCACCACGTGGCAAAATAAATCCCGATCTTCAGTCTCCTCGCCGCCTCGGATTTCACCGACGGCGACTCGCTGATCGGCTCCGATTTGTCGGCTTCATACGCTTTACACGAGATCAAAGATTGCACCTTTTCATGTTTTAAAGACTTCTTTAAAGAAGTGGAGAAAGCTTCTGGTGAAACGACGTGGAGGGGTTTAGAGAGAGAAACGATGAAGTTCCGGCGATTATTTATCTGTGGAAGAAACGGCAGGTGGCCGGCCTGTGCCTGCACCGGAGATCTTGATAGGAGAAAATCTGGAACCTTGAGTGCTAAAGTGGACTGCTTGAAAGAGGAGATCATAGTATAAAAATTGGAATTTTGAAATCTGAGCAAAAATCAAGAGGAAGGGGTCTGACCCAGAAAAAGTTGACAGGTTTATATATATTACTGTATGCTTATGTTGTCAATAGATAGACGGGGAAATTGAGAAAAACTTGAAGCTTTGGTTACGCCAGAAGAACAGATAAAAGCTAGTTGTTGACAACTTTTCATGGAGAAAAGGGTTTTTGGGGAGAGATTTCTTTCTCCTTTTGCATTCACTGACTCAAGAGAGAGAAAAAGAGACGAGGTTGGCTCTAAGTTTAGTAGGTTGGCAGAACCGAAATCACGTAGGTTTGGTTCCTAATGCTAACTAGTGGCGCCTTCACTGCAAATTTTCAAGTCCCCAAATGTAATTTTGTGTCATCTTTCTTATGGGTGTAATGAGTCATAATTTTTTTTATTCAATTGAACTTATAAATTAATGTCAATGGTGTTTTCATATAAATTGATATTAAACACCATTGATATTATAAAATGCGATTACAAAATTGACATTTTGAAGGTTGTGAAGATTGAATCTCGTCGTTTTGATTTGTAGCGTCAAGGGTTTCAGACCTTACAAATATTTACATTCGAGATCCCTTTATGATGGAAACCGTTAGTTTGACTTTTAAATTACACTTGGATCTCGATCGTTTAGACGTTGTGAAGATAGATTCCTCAACTTTTGACTTTCAAACATCTAAGCTATGGATCCGTTTGTGATGAAAATCATCCGTTCGATCCTCAAAGGTCAAAATTTAATTAAAATGACCATTTTACATTGAAGTTTTCGTTTCGATAATCCGATGATTCTCCCTAAAGTTGATTTGTTTACCCTATAAGTGATTGTTTAACCTTCAAGTTTTTGTTTCTATTTATTTATTTAATATTTTTTCCATTGATTCAAAAATTAACTATTTAACTTTTGCAAATCAAACTTTAATCCATTTATAAGTAATTGCTAATTCCTAAAGTCAGTAATTTTAGTAATAAGTAAATAAATTGAATAGAGGTATAGCAAGTTTTGAATTTTGTTATGTCATTAAAATCTTTGGCTTGACGTATATATTTAATAGAATGTGATAAAGAAGAGTTAGAGTTAGAGTTAGAGCTAGCTAAATACGCCATACATCAGCAAATATTTTGATCATAGTATTTAGAGTTAATATTAATTACTTGTCATGTTTCTTAATTTAGAAGTTCAATGTCTATTCTTGCTCGACTATCTTCAATGAATGTCAACCACTAGGAACACTAATACTAATGGTTTAATTTTAAAGTCTTAGATATATTGCCAATAAATCTTTCTTGAAATAATGTCCTCGAAGCGCATGATTCTTTTATAGATCAAGACATCAAGAGGTTTTGTATTTTAAACACGGTCTTTCATTTTTTTTCAAGATAAATAATATCGGAATTTCTAAAACCCGGTCTATGTTTCGCATTCTTTGGCCCCCATTTATTAAAATTTATTTTTATCAACTTTTCAACTCGATATTCATTAATTTTATCAAAATTTACTATAGATTTAATTTATGTCAAATCAAACATGGCTTTAATTAGATATCCCACCTACCACCACAGGTGGTAGTATTGAAGCATTCAATTACCCCATTTCAAAAGCAGCTAGTGGGCTCCTCTATCAAAATGTATGATTGATTGTACTACATGCAGAATGAGCTAGATGGGATATTGAGAGACTATGTCGGGAGAGAGAGTCCTCTTTACTTTGCGGAACGACTTACAGAGCACTATAAACGTCCTGATGGAAGAGGGCCACAAATTTACCTCAAAAGAGAAGATCTTAACCACACTGGGGCCCACAAAATCAACAATGCTGTTGCCCAAGCATTGCTAGCCAAGCGCCTGGGCAAGAAACGTATCATTGCTGAAACAGGGGCTGGTCAGCATGGTGTTGCTACAGCTACCGTTTGTGCTCGTTTTGGGTTAGAGTGTATTATCTATATGGGTGCTCAGGACATGGAGAGGCAAGCACTCAATGTCTTCAGAATGCGACTTCTTGGAGCTGAGGTTTGTTTATCAATACTAGCTTTTTACTAGTTCTTTTGATAATCTGATGTACTCGGAATTGCAATCCCCAGTTATCCACGCATCAATCTTCTCTTAGCATACACAAGAATGCTGGTAAATCCTGTCTACCCCGTTGTCATGCCTGGACAACTATGTGCAGAACAGTGATTGCAAAACAAAATTATCATTGTGGATTTGGGGTACTTTCCAGCATTCAGCTCATTAGGATGCTGTATGCAGCAATATACGTGCATTCTTTTTTCGAATTGTTTATGTTTCTTGCATCAAGTAGTCACTCTGGTTTTTGGGTTCCCTTCAAATTCACAGACTAGCAGCGTCTCCAACAGCATTACCAGGTGCCTCTTGCTTAAGGTGTTCTGTCAAGGCTTACACCTTGGCTTACTGAGTCAAACTCAAGCATAAGCCTCGTGACGGCAGGGAGTTGCCACATTTGGGCTTTGTTCTTAGCACCCTCAAACCCTCGGTTGCTTGGGTTTTCCAGAATGTGTTTTAAGGATTTTTGGGATGTTCCTAACACAAACCTTCTTAAAAACTAATAAAATCAAAAGAAAAGAAAAAGATTGGAGATTAGAGGAGAAAAAATGAACACCCTGTGTGCCCTGGCCCTCTACTTGCACCCCTGAACAGAAACAGAGAAGAAAAAACCAGCAATGTTGCTCCTTTCTAGCTAGCATTTAACAAGTTTTTCTTCTTTTCTTTCTTTTACTGTCTTGGATTTTGTCTCCACTTGTCAGTTTTCTACCTTTGTACTGGAATCTGGATCATCTGACCCAGCAATGGCCTGAAGAAAAAAATGTTTACTGACGGGATGAGACGAAATAAATTTGTCTTTGGCTTTCCAGCATTCACCTCCTTCCCTTGTCAGGCCTTTTCATTGAGTTTACTCTGGGTTTTGCTTTTTCTATTAAAACCAAGCTAACGAAATTTTTGAAGCTTGATACTTCCAATTTTGGATTAGCGACCTTGTCATATAATTACTACTTTCATTACTGCTTTATTGATTTATTGTTTGCTACCGTATTGATGTCTTTTATGTTTCGAACTGCAAATTTGACTTTGATTTTGTTATAAGCATTATTTATTTATTTATTATTATTTTTTTTTTTACTAACTCTTCAATTTTTTTATTGGTGCCTTGAGGCTTATGTCTTGCCTCACAGATGGAAAATGCTTAGATTCCTCTATCTATCGTTTTTGAATACTCAGAGATTATGAAACTACTTTTTATCAGTTTATTTCACAATTACAAGAACAAACTTTCCTTTACTATTCTGATATCAGTACCATCTTTTGCAGCTTCCAAATCTATGAGCCTCATTGTTATTCATGAAGAATCTTTTTCTAATAAAATCATCAATTCCTTAATTAAGAGTGCTTGTGCAAGTTAATTTATCATGCCTGCATGACATCAAAAAATGACTCATGCTTTTCAATTGAATTTTGGCGACTTTGCATAAATGGCTCGGGGATACAATTTATAATGCTGCTTTTGGCTTTCCCAACTCACATGCAGGTGAGACCATGCTTGTGCAAGTTAATTTATCGTGTCTGCATGACATAAAAAATGACTCGTGCTTTTCAATTGAATTTTGGCGACTTTCTTAAATGGCTCGGGGATACAATTTATAATGCTGCTTTTAGCTTAAAATTTCCGAACTCACGTGCAGGTAAGACCAGTTCATTCGGGGACTGCAACGCTGAAGGATGCTACATCTGAAGCTATACGAGACTGGGTAACCAATGTGGAATCAACTCATTACATCCTGGGATCTGTTGCCGGGCCCCATCCATATCCTATGATGGTAAGAGAGTTTCATGCAGTGATTGGTAAAGAAACAAGGAAACAAGCATTGGAAAAATGGGGTGGCAAACCCAATGTGCTTGTTGCATGTGTTGGTGGAGGTTCAAATGCGATGGGGATCTTTCATGAATTTGTCGATGACAAAGATGTTAGGCTGATTGGTGTGGAGGCTGCTGGTTTCGGTTTGGACAGCGGTAAGCATGCTGCCACATTGACTAAAGGAGAAGTTGGAGTCTTGCACGGAGCTATGAGCTACTTGTTGCAGGATGATGATGGGCAAATTATCGAGCCACATTCTATTAGTGCTGGGTAAACCGTGTTCATATTTACCAATAATTTAAGATGCCATTTGTTTCGATATATTTTCCCTGACTAAAAAGCGCTTCTTTATGACCTCCATAGCCTGGATTATCCTGGAGTTGGACCAGAGCACAGTTTTCTTAAAGATATTGGACGTGCTGAGTATTATAGCATCACCGATGAAGAGGCTATAGAAGGTAAGGAGAGAAATCTAATGTTCCATTTGTTCCGTGCTTTTATCTTCGTATATGCAGCTGCCCAGTCCTCTGGAATTCCTTGTTCAACATAGTCAAAGTAGATTATAAAAAAACCTAAGGTCCTTTTATTGCTTTCCCTCCCACAATATCCAATTGCTTTATGTTGTTCTTGATAGAGTAATTGTAAGTGTATATGAATTGTTAGGTCATCCACTGATGTATTTAGTTGGATAAATTGATACGGGATAGGACCAGTATTAAGGGGAAAAGAATCTTCATTTGTTGGGAATAATATCCAGCCTCGTCTAAGAACATTACACTAAATGTGTCTCTCTGCCTGTGTCATGCCAGCTTTTAAGAGATTATCTAGGCTCGAGGGCATCATCCCTGCACTCGAGACATCTCATGCACTGGCATATCTAGAGAAGTTGTGCCCGACGCTTCCAGATGGAACTAAAGTTGTGCTCAACTGCAGTGGAAGGGGAGATAAGGATGTTCAGACAGCCATTACCCTGTGTGCCCTGGCCCTCTACTTGCACCCCTGAACAGAAACAGAGAAGAAAAAACCAGCAATGTTGCTCCTTTCTAGCTAGCATTTAACAAGTTTTTCTTCTTTTCTTTCTTTTACTGTCTTGGATTTTGTCTCCACTTGTCAGTTTTCTACCTTTGTACTGGAATCTGGATCATCTGACCCAGCAATGGCCTGAAGAAAAAAATGTTTACTGACGGGATGAGACGAAATAAATTTCTCTTTGGCTTTCCAGCATTCACCTCCTTCCCTTGTCAGGCCTTTTCATTGAGTTTACTCTGGGTTTTGCTTTTTCTATTAAAACCAAGCTAACGAAATTTTTGAAGCTTGATACTTCCAATTTTGGATTAGCGACCTTGTCATATAATTACTACTTTCATTACTGCTTTATTGATTTATTGTTTGCTACCGTATTGATGTCTTTTATGTTTCGAACTGCAAATTTGACTTTGATTTTGTTATAAGCATTATTTATTTATTTATTATTATTTTTTTTTTTACTAACTCTTCAATTTTTTTATTGGTGCCTTGAGGCTTATGTCTTGCCTCACAGATGGAAAATGCTTAGATTCCTCTATCTATCGTTTTTGAATACTCAGAGATTATGAAACTACTTTTTATCAGTTTATTTCACAATTACAAGAACAAACTTTCCTTTACTATTCTGATATCAGTACCATCTTTTGCAGCTTCCAAATCTATGAGCCTCATTGTTATTCATGAAGAATCTTTTTCTAATAAAATCATCAATTCCTTAATTAAGAGTGCTTGTGCAAGTTAATTTATCATGCCTGCATGACATCAAAAAATGACTCATGCTTTTCAATTGAATTTTGGCGACTTTGCATAAATGGCTCGGGGATACAATTTATAATGCTGCTTTTGGCTTTCCCAACTCACATGCAGGTGAGACCATGCTTGTGCAAGTTAATTTATCGTGTCTGCATGACATAAAAAATGACTCGTGCTTTTCAATTGAATTTTGGCGACTTTCTTAAATGGCTCGGGGATACAATTTATAATGCTGCTTTTAGCTTAAAATTTCCGAACTCACGTGCAGGTAAGACCAGTTCATTCGGGGACTGCAACGCTGAAGGATGCTACATCTGAAGCTATACGAGACTGGGTAACCAATGTGGAATCAACTCATTACATCCTGGGATCTGTTGCCGGGCCCCATCCATATCCTATGATGGTAAGAGAGTTTCATGCAGTGATTGGTAAAGAAACAAGGAAACAAGCATTGGAAAAATGGGGTGGCAAACCCAATGTGCTTGTTGCATGTGTTGGTGGAGGTTCAAATGCGATGGGGATCTTTCATGAATTTGTCGATGACAAAGATGTTAGGCTGATTGGTGTGGAGGCTGCTGGTTTCGGTTTGGACAGCGGTAAGCATGCTGCCACATTGACTAAAGGAGAAGTTGGAGTCTTGCACGGAGCTATGAGCTACTTGTTGCAGGATGATGATGGGCAAATTATCGAGCCACATTCTATTAGTGCTGGGTAAACCGTGTTCATATTTACCAATAATTTAAGATGCCATTTGTTTCGATATATTTTCCCTGACTAAAAAGCGCTTCTTTATGACCTCCATAGCCTGGATTATCCTGGAGTTGGACCAGAGCACAGTTTTCTTAAAGATATTGGACGTGCTGAGTATTATAGCATCACCGATGAAGAGGCTATAGAAGGTAAGGAGAGAAATCTAATGTTCCATTTGTTCCGTGCTTTTATCTTCGTATATGCAGCTGCCCAGTCCTCTGGAATTCCTTGTTCAACATAGTCAAAGTAGATTATAAAAAAACCTAAGGTCCTTTTATTGCTTTCCCTCCCACAATATCCAATTGCTTTATGTTGTTCTTGATAGAGTAATTGTAAGTGTATATGAATTGTTAGGTCATCCACTGATGTATTTAGTTGGATAAATTGATACGGGATAGGACCAGTATTAAGGGGAAAAGAATCTTCATTTTGTCGGGAATAATATCCAGCCTCGTCTAAGAACATTACCCTAAATGTGTCTCTCTGCCTGTGTCATGCCAGCTTTTAAGAGATTATCTAGGCTCGAGGGCATCATCCCTGCACTCGAGACATCTCATGCACTGGCATATCTAGAGAAGTTGTGCCCGACGCTTCCAGATGGAACTAAAGTTGTGCTCAACTGCAGTGGAAGGGGAGATAAGGATGTTCAGACAGCCATTAAATTGTTAAAGCTTTGATTGTATTAACTTGAAAATGTGCATGTGAACCTTCTAGGAATTTCGGGGAATCATTTCTTGAGATCCTTTTGAAGGGCAATTTAGTTTGTGTCATGGTCTGCCACCATGGTTATATGATGAAATTTTTCATATGAAAGCAATGATAAACCAGTCAGGTTGCCATTATTTATTGGTACAATTTCTCAGTTCTTCCCTCAACTTTGGGGTACAACATAAAACACTAAAATCCACCAAAACTTAATCTGTATAAGATCCAAGTTTTTTAACTCATTATTGGTATCTACAAGTAAAGCCGATGCTCCACTCAGTACAAACTTTTATCGATCTTCAAGCAGCACGAATCTTGACACCTACTTCTGTCCAGTTCATGCAACTCAACCAAGCTGAATTCCGAGTTCCAGTTCTTACTGCTTTGCCTGTCAAATACGAAAAAAATAAGAGAATAAACGCATTGATGTGCACTTGGCTATATTATCAAAACTCCAGAGAAGCATGCAATGAACGACAAATATGAGAACCTCGTTGTCTGTTTAACATGCATATGGAAACATTGCTTTTTAAAGGTACGAAATCAAGCAATGTCGACAATATGGAAGTAATGTGTCAAAATTTAGAGCCTGTTTGGGCGTTCAAAAAATCAAAAACTGCGTCTAAGGTTAAGAAGCTATTTTTGGACACGTTTGAATAATTTTCTAGATGCATTTGTCAGACTAGAAAAGCTTTTAGAGAACTATCCAAAGTTAGCTTCCTCACAAAGCTCTTTATAAAAGTATAGCCCTGCCAAACAAAGCCCCAAATAACTTCCTAAGCACAGAAATAAGCAGTATCCAGCCAATGCGTGGAGAAAAAGTCAAATGAGGATAAGTTAGCAAATTACCTGAGAATACAAGAAAGTTCCTAGAATTGCAATGGCAGCTCCAAGAGCGTTGATGGGTCGTACGGGTGTATGGAAAATGATGATAGATGAGACAATGACAGAAATGCGTTTCATTGTGTTTCCAATGCTAAATGTCAAGGGAGAAATCTCATCAAGTGACATGTATGACACCTGATTGTATAGGTGGTAGAACACACTCTGGGCTGCCATCCACCTGTTATTTACAAAATTCAACAACATAAACATCAATAGAAACAAACCTCCGAATCTTGACAAAAAGGCGAAAGAAACAAAATTTAGTACTCTGTTACCCAATATTCTACATGAAGAATAAAACTCAATAACATCAAAAACTACTCAAATGAGTCGTATCCGCATTATTAAATAATCAATTTGGATCAACTAATCATATAACAAAGGATTCTATTCAAGGAGGACTAAGCTCTTGTTTGCCCTCCATTTTCTAAAACTCATTTTTAACCACGGGCCCACAACTTTTATAACTTTCCAACCACACAAACTATTTTTATCAAAATCAACTAAAAACTTGATTTTTAGTTAAACCAAACGGGGCTAAGTTGGTTTTCTAGAATTTATATACTTACATGGCTAGATTAATCATCCACAAAATTTACAAATAAATACAAAATTATTCACCTCTTAGAAAACCTAGTTTTGTGATACAACAATGGATTCTAGAGAATTAGTGATACATGGATTTTGTATTTACACCCATCAAATATCTAGAATCTTGACACCTACTTCTGTCCAGTTCATGCAACTCAACCAAGCTGAATTCCGAGTTCCAGTTCTTACTGCTTTGCCTGTCAAATACGAGAAAAATAAGAGAATAAACGCATTGATGTGCACTTGGCTATATTATCAAAACTCCAGAGAAGAATGCAATGAACGACAAATATGAGAACCTCGTTGTCTGTTTAACATGCATATGGAAACATTGCTTTTTAAAGGTACGAAATCAAGCAATGTCGACAATATAGAAGTAATGTGTCAAAATTTAGAGCCTGTTTGGGCGTTCGAAAAATCAAAAACTGCGTCTAAGGTTAAGAAGCTATTTTTGGACACGTTTGAATAATTTTCTAGATGCATTTGTCAGACTAGAAAAGCTTTTAGAGAACTATCCAAAGTTAGCTTCCTCACAAAGCTCTTTATAAAAGTATAGCCCTGCCAAACAAAGCCCCAAATAACTTCCTAAGCACAGAAATAAGCAGTATCCAGCCAATGCGTGGAGAAAAAGTCAAATGAGGATAAGTTAGCAAATTACCTGAGAATACAAGAAAGTTCCTAGAATTGCAATGGCAGCTCCAAGAGCGTTGATGGGTCGTACGGGTGTATGGAAAATGATGATAGATGAGACAATGACAGAAATGCGTTTCATTGTGTTTCCAATGCTAAATGTCAAGGGAGAAATCTCATCAAGTGACATGTATGACACCTGATTGTATAGGTGGTAGAACACACTCTGGGCTGCCATCCACCTGTTATTTACAAAATTCAACAACATAAACATCAATAGAAACAAACCTCCGAATCTTGACAAAAAGGCGAAAGAAACAAAATTTAGTACTCTGTTACCCAATATTCTACATGAAGAATAAAACTCAATAACATCAAAAACTACTCAAATGAGTCGTATCCGCATTATTAAATAATCAATTTGGATCAACTAATCATATAACAAAGGATTCTATTCAAGGAGGACTAAGCTCTTGTTTGCCCTCCATTTTCTAAAACTCATTTTTAACCACGGGCCCACAACTTTTATAACTTTCCAACCACACAAACTATTTTTATCAAAATCAACTAAAAACTTGATTTTTAGTTAAACCAAACGGGGCTAAGTTGGTTTTCTAGAATTTATATACTTACATGGCTAGATTAATCATCCACAAAATTTACAAATAAATACAAAATTATTCACCTCTTAGAAAACCTAGTTTTGTGATACAACAATGGATTCTAGAGAATTAGTGATACATGGATTTTGTATTTACACCCATCAAATATCTTCACGACATCATACGTGCAATATTAGACAAAATAAAACAAAACAAAAGTAGGTAGGTCTTGTCATGTAATTACCAAATAATCTGGGGTCCAATTTGAGATAGTGATTCTTTAAATCCAAGAGCCCACATTTGTGGTCCTTCGACAGCAATTGCAAATGGAGTGAGAATCAAGAGAGAGAGCATAGATAAGCAGGCATAGTAGTTCATTCCACTAACAGACTTGCCCTTCATGCCCTTCTTGGAAAATATGTTCCGAAAAACAAATGCCAAATTCGATATCATGGCCCCCATAAAACCTGATGTGAACAGCCAACAACCATATACGTATGCATCAGACAAGAACATGAATACTGGTAATTTCTGTTTAACACCTCCTACAACTTTATTGTTTCAGACCTTACAAATATTTACATTCGAGATCCCTTTATGATGGAAACCGTTAGTTTGACTTTTAAATTACACTTGGATCTCGATCGTTTAGACGTTGTGAAGATAGATTCCTCAACTTTTGACTTTCAAACATCTAAGCTATGGATCCGTTTGTGATGAAAATCATCCGTTCGATCCTCAAAGGTCAAAATTTAATTAAAATGACCATTTTACATTGAAGTTTTCGTTTCGATAATCCGATGATTCTCCCTAAAGTTGATTTGTTTACCCTATAAGTGATTGTTTAACCTTCAAGTTTTTGTTTCTATTTATTTATTTAATATTTTTTCCATTGATTCAAAAATTAACTATTTAACTTTTGCAAATCAAACTTTAATCCATTTATAAGTAATTGCTAATTCCTAAAGTCAGTAATTTTAGTAATAAGTAAATAAATTGAATAGAGGTATAGCAAGTTTTGAATTTTGTTATGTCATTAAAATCTTTGGCTTGACGTATATATTTAATAGAATGTGATAAAGAAGAGTTAGAGTTAGAGTTAGAGCTAGCTAAATACGCCATACATCAGCAAATATTTTGATCATAGTATTTAGAGTTAATATTAATTACTTGTCATGTTTCTTAATTTAGAAGTTCAATGTCTATTCTTGCTCGACTATCTTCAATGAATGTCAACCACTAGGAACACTAATACTAATGGTTTAATTTTAAAGTCTTAGATATATTGCCAATAAATCTTTCTTGAAATAATGTCCTCGAAGCGCATGATTCTTTTATAGATCAAGACATCAAGAGGTTTTGTATTTTAAACACGGTCTTTCATTTTTTTTCAAGATAAATAATATCGGAATTTCTAAAACCCGGTCTATGTTTCGCATTCTTTGGCCCCCATTTATTAAAATTTATTTTTATCAACTTTTCAACTCGATATTCATTAATTTTATCAAAATTTACTATAGATTTAATTTATGTCAAATCAAACATGGCTTTAATTAGATATCCCACCTACCACCACAGGTGGTAGTATTGAAGCATTCAATTACCCCATTTCAAAAGCAGCTAGTGGGCTCCTCTATCACGTGTTTGGTTTAAGCCAATTTCTAGTAGGTGTTGAATCGATTACTTTGATTGATTAGCACTACTCTCAAAGTTGATTTTACCAACTTTAGCTTGGATTATTATGACATGATTTTTGAAGGAAAATGATAAACACACGGGGTAAAAAAATAGGAAACGAGAAACGGATTGATGTGACAACAAATTGTTGATTTTTTTTAAAAAAATTTCAAACTCTCTAATTATGTATCGATACATGTGCAGCATATTTATGTAGTATTGCTCATTTTTTAGAAGGCAAACATTGTTCTCGAGAATAAGAAATTTATTTTTTAACTTATTTAGAGGGTGTTTGGGAGTCATTTTTATGTAAAAATGTATTTTGGAATAGTAAATTGATGAGAAATGTGTAGTTGAAAAATAAAGAATTTTTTTATTTACGTGTAATATTATTTTAATAAAGAATGTGTGGTTGAAAAGAAGAGAGAAAAAAATGTATTTTGAAAAAAAATGGGTACCAAACGGATCCTTAGATTATTTTTTTAAAAAGTGTTCGTCTGGTTAAAAAGCTGACCTGAAATACTTTCTTCAAAAAGTTCTTATACAAAAAACAAAAGTAAAAATAAAAGTCTTGCCAAATAAGTCCATATAAATTGAATTATCTAATTTTGTATATTTTGATTTTGATGACACACGATCGGACCTAGATGTGGGACCTTTCAAATACGAAATTAGGGATTTGCTACGTGTATACTATAGTTATACAATCCACGAATTATTTAATCATTGTGGATCCCTCTCATGTAAAGGGGTGTACACTGTACACTCTAGTGTACAAGTATCTTTACCCACTAAATTAATAATTGTCAGAATATTTTCTAAAAAAATTCTTCTGAAAGATCCTAAAATAGCATGCTTTGCATATTAGAATATTCGTTGGCTATATAGACCGTGTTTGATTGATTAATTCATTATTCAACCATATCTATGTGTTAATTAATCAAGATCAAAAATAGTTTGCTTTTTGGTTTGGCATATTCCAAAGTATTATCATCAGATGCTTATTTGACATTGTTCCATCTACTCCGAATTATCAAAATAAAAATAAATTTTAGCATCCGTTGAAAAGATTTAAGAATAATGTAATTTATAAATAATTAGTAGTTGTGAATCCATTTAAAATGTGTGGTTAAAAATAAATATTAACCATTTATATATTTGGCAAACAAGGCTATGCTTTAAACGGAAAAGCAATGAAATTGAAGAAATTAAGCTAGCTAAAGAGTAATACTATTCATTTACTATCAAAATCATCAACAATTTAGGTAATAGTATCCAGAAGATGAATTAAGGAATCATGCTACCTCGGGTGTTGAATAGTGTGAATGACTTTTAAAAACAATGAAATTGAAGAAATTCAACATTTTCTTTGTTGGCTCATAACTTGTCAATGTGTTGAGATACTGAGGGCAAGAAATGAGCCAAGTTCGATCAATAGAGGTTTAGATTTTAAAGTTATCTAAAGGGTAATATTATTCATTACTATCAAAATCATCATCGATCTAGGTAATAGTGTACAAAACAATGAAATTGAAGAAATTCAACATTTTCTTCGTTGGCTCACAGCTTTTCAATGTGTTGTGATTCTGAGGGCAAGAAATGAGCCTAGTCCGATCAATGGAGGTTCAGATTTTAAAGTTGTCCAAAAAGTAATACTATTCATTACTATCAAAATCATCATCAATTTAGGTGACAGTATCCAAAAGATGAATTAAGGTGTCATTGCTACCTTAGGTGTTGAATCGCGTGAATGACTTTTAAAACAATTTTGTAAAAAATAATTAAATAGTTTTTTGAGCCAATGTTATGAAATAAAAAGAAATTTCACGAATCAATTTTACGAAAAGAAAAATGAAAATAAAACAAGCCTTTGTTTACCATCATTATTTGGGAAAAACAATATTTTAAATGGTAATTGTTAGAATAATGTGTGGTTAACAGGTAGGAAAAAAAATTTAGTTTACATATAGAATATTTTATTACATATATGGTTAAAAATAATTATGTAGAAAAAAAAGTTTTCAAATAATAATTGTCAAATAAGGGCTAAATTTTACTCTAAATTGTGGCCCAATTAAGTTTGTAAAAGTGAAAATTACATAATAACAGGGATTTAAATATCACAATTCAAAAATTAGGGATCAAGTTTCATTATCTAAAAATCAGGTATTGATATAATAATTAAATATCCAAATTTAACTCCCAAACCTTAATCATTTTCATCATCTTCCTTATCTCACTTCTCTCGCATCTCTCTCTAACTTCACTTTATGTGCAAGTCACCACCACCCAATGGTGACAAACGCATTATTCTCTTTCTAGTGGCAATACCTCCTTTTCTCTTCTGTGACAAACCATTCTCTTTGCAGTGCGGTCACCACAATAGCAAATGTAGCGGCATTGAGGTGTAGTAGTGGTTTGGGACTGTTGTAGTTTTTAACGGTGGTGGCATCGAGGAATGGTGGTAGTAGTGGTTTGGGACTATTGTAATTTTCAGCGGTAGCGATGTTGGAATGTGGTGGTGGAGGAGGCTGCTTTGTCGCGAATGTGAGTGCCGTGGTGTCAAAACCTCGGCCATTGTTATCCCTAGTGCGATTTTAACAATGGCGACGTCGAGGTGTGGTGGTTGTGATAGTGGTGATTTGGGGCTACTGTGATTTTCAGCAATGGCGGCATTGGGATATGGTGGTGGTGTTGAAGTTGCTTGTGGTGGTGGTTTGAGGCTACTGTGGTTTTCAATGTGGCGGTGTCGGGGTATGGTGTTGGTGGTAGTGGTGATTTGAGGCCACTATGATTTTTAGCAATAGCAACATCAGGATGTGGTGGTGGTGTTGATGTTGCTTGTGGTGGTTTGGGGCTGCTACGGTTTTCAACGTAGCGGTATCGGGGTCTGGCGGCGGCGATTTTGGTGTTGTTGGGGGTTTTAGGTGGTTTTTGTTGACTGTATAGGTAGAGATGCTGGCGATGATGATGGATTTGGAGGCGATTTTTATTGGTGGTGGTGGTGCGACGGCGATGGTGTTGGTGTTGTGGTGGTACGAAAGTCCCAGGGAAAGGGTGTTCACAATTGGCGGTGGTGTTGGTGGCGGGTAATATGCATAAGGAAGAATAAAACTTACCTTTAGAGGACAATCCAACACAAGGTTCCTTTATCAAGTATTTGGTTATTTGCGAAAAAGTATTTAACTGTGACCTAAAAATCTGATACTTGTGATCGAAAAATAATATGTAACCAACAAATTTGAAAATATGTGACTGAAAGATAAATTGTGACCTATAATTTTTTTTTTATTTGTGACCGATAAAATAAATCGTGATCTATAAAACTTTTAATTTCGGTGATCAATTAATTTGATAATACGTGACTAATAAATAAGTTATGACTATAATTATGTATTTACTATATTTAATTAATAAATATTTATAATTAATTAACTAATACACGATTTTTTCATTTTTTTTTAAAACTTTAAACTTGATTTTTGAATTCTCTATTTTTAATACATGATCTGTGAATTTTTCCCTCTCTAGAATGGTCTTCCCTGGTGAGCTGTACTTGGGCAGGACCTGGAATCAACTTGGGCTAGGGTGGGGCACGGTTCGTCGTCATGATCGACATGAACATACGATCAAATTCGGCCTAAGGTGTAATAGAGTGCAATAATTGTTGAAAAAATAATTAGTTGCAGTAACATTCAGAATAATAAAATGCAGAAATATAAAACTTATCGTCTGATCAAGTCTCGTGATAGCATGATATCCTAAAGTGAAATTGCTCGTCGATAACTGCTGCGACCTTCGTGGACAATCATCCCCAAGATACAACGATCGTAAACCACTTGTGCAGCAATCACAAATGATTTTCAGAACT